GTGCTTCTGCAGCCTCTGACTCTGGGTCTGCAGCAGATCCACCTGGGACTCCAGCTCCAACTTGCGGGCCTGAAGCTCATCAAGAATTTTTTGGAGCTTCCGGTTTGACTCCAACAGGTGGGTGTGCTCCTTCTTCGCCTCCTCCAGCTGCTGATGGGTGGTGGTGGCTTTCTGGGGACAGAAGGAAAGATAGACACACCCAGAAACGTGGGTGGGTGGTGAGGCAGGGAGCAGGCAGCACCAGATGACAGAGAAGCCGGAAGAGCGCTGGAGAGAGGGTGGGACCAGGCCCACTAAGGCCTGTGTCTGCACCAGGAGGTGCTGGCCCCTTCCCCCACCACAGGCCCCCTCCTCAGAGGGCCCTACACTGCGGTGCTGTTTGTGGAAACCGGGAGCCCAATGCCCTGAATAAAGGGTGGTGGGGAGGGAGTCAGGAATGGGAGTAGGGGAGACAGAGAAGAAGGACAGGAGAGGCAAACAGACCTCACTCTCCAGCGCAACCTGCCTCTGCACATCAAGGAGCTGCTGCTGCTTCTCCTTCCGGGCCGCCTCCTCCTATGAGGGAAGGAAAGGACCAGGCTGTGTGGCCGTCTCAGGGCCCCAGGGCTAAGGGGCAGGAAGGCCCATGCCCTCCTGGGGGAGCTGACTCCATGGTCCAGGGCGCCTGAGAGCCCGTCCTCCGCCCCTACTCCCGCACCTGGATATCCAGCTGAGCCAATCTGGCCTTGACATCTTTGGTTCTGGTTTCAAGTTCCACCTCTAAATCTTGGAGCTTCCTTTCCTGCACAGAAGTGTAGGTGGAGAGAAAGGTGTGTGTAGAAAGGGCACAGGCCCGAGCTGAGGCACGGGAGGGCAGGAGGGGCTCCTGACCCCCCACGCCATACCACATGCTCCAAGCCGGCTGGGCTTTTGTCCCCATGGTCTCCCCACAAAGCACCACCCCTTGGTCATTTCAGCTGGGGCGAGGAGAGGCAAAGGCACCAAGCCCAAGGCCCTAGAAGAGCTGACCTCCTCCTCCAATCCCAGGGATGCTCCCTGGCCCAGAAAACAAAGGAGCAAAGATGCCCTTGCTTGGGGATGGCCAGCAAGAGACACCCTCCCCAAAGCTGTTGGGCTCCTTCCTGCTGCTGCCGCAGTGCCCGCCCCCAGCACTTTTCTACCCTGTGTGGAGGTGTCAGAGCTGGTGGGACCCAAGGGACCTGTCCAAAGACCCCACCTGCTCCCGGTGCCGCCGCCGCAGGTCCTCGAGCTGCCGGTCCTGCTCCTGCCTCACGGTCTCCAACTCCCGCTCGTGGGCCCTGCGCAGGCGCTCCAGCTCCCCCATCAGGTGCCCCAGGAGTTCAGCCCGCTGCTTCCTCTCCTGCGCAGAGGGTGGAGCCACTGGTGGGAAACCACAGTGGCCCCTCACACTCCTAAAACCACAGCCCCACCCCAACCCTGCAGCCTAGGGTCAGTAGGATCAGGGACCCCATCGGCCCCCTAAGGCCGGTTCTTGGAGGGAAGCAGGAGAGCACCCAGGATGGCACAGTCCCACCCCCAGAAAGCCTATAGCCTCTCTCTGCACTGACACAGACCCTGGTGAGATGTCCTAAGCAAATGCCCGTGGTGGGAGCCTGCCTCTCCTACTGCCCCCACACGTACAGCCCTCCTTCCTTAAGGGAAGCAAGATCGTTACTAAATGATCACTATCCTTCAGCAAGGGCAGCAGTGGCTTGGGAAAGGAGCCAACAACTTTGCATCACAGGCCGCTACTCCTGCCCTGGGCGAGACTATACAGAGTCAGAGATACCGGCTCCAGCCGCAGCCTAGAATCCCCGGGCAGAGGTTCAGCTCTGGGCTCAAGTCAGCCACCATCCCTCCCCATCACTCACCCCTAGTGTCAGCAAGCTGGCAGGCCCACGCAAGTCACTGAACTTTCCCACCCAAGGCCAAAGGTGGGCAGATAATATTCATCTACTTCTCGGTGTCCTGGGATTTCGATAAATCCTGGTGGCATGGTGTTGTTGGGTGCTTAAAATTAAAGGCTTTGGAGTCAGCCTGGCATGAATCCTAGCTCCTCTGCTTACTAGCCGGGGTAGGCCTGGGAGAGCTGCTCACACTCCCCGAGTCTTCGTTCCCTCATTTTTAAAATGGAGATGATGATAGTCCGTGCGCCCTACGGGTGCCGTGAAGACTAGATGAGTGAACACCGCTAAAGAGCTCAGGAGAGGGCCCGGCACACAGGACAAGCTCCATACACATCAGCTATTATTACCATGAGAGCAAAGTGCAGGCTGCTAGGGAGGAACCACTCCTCAGCTAACGCTTTAGTAAAACGGCAAAACGCGATTTCCCCGCTGCAGGGTGTCAGGGAAGAAAGCCTCCCACCACCCCGACAACAGTCCGTCCCCTTCCCAGGCCCTCCAACCAGCGGGGAAGGACCCCGGGGTGTCTGCGTGTGCACGTGCGCACACGTGCCAGGGCACGCGGCCAAGTCACCTCGGCTTCGTACTGCTCTCTGGCCTCAGCCACCACGTGCTGGTGCTCCTCCTTCATCTTGTCCATCCTCCTCTCGTGTTCCCGTTCCACCTCCTGGCGCCTCTCTCTCAGGAGGCCACTGAGCTGCAGGGCAAGTGGCAGAGATGCGACATGTAGGACAGGGTGGAGCAGCACCCGGGGAATGAAGCACTCGAAGGTCTCACGTGCAAACAACATACACCCGCCTCCCCAGCATCCCTGCATGCCCACCACATCCACATCACACACACATGAGACACCCACAGCCACATCCAGCACCCCCGCTCACGTACAGGGCATGGGGGCCTTGAAGGAACTAAGGCATAAAAATGGACCCAGAAGTCCTAACCCTAGCTGAACTATCTGAAGCAAAGCAGGGGCCCGTGGGCCAGGACAGAGCGTGCAGGACAGGGGCACACAGACTGGAAGCAGCGGAGCAGCATCTACCTCTTGCTCGTACTCGAGCACGTGGTGAACCTTCTGAGCCCTCTGCTCCGCCCGTCCAAGGCTCTCCTG